GAGATAAGGATAATCGAGTCCTCAAAAGCAACTTCCTCGATTGCCGCAAACTTTTGAACGAAACACTTGTGAGGCTGCGGTCCCGCACCTATTACTCAGGGAAAGGGTCTTCCCCTAGAGTGACCACCTGTTGTGTTCTCCCGCCAAAGGACAGCTTTTCGCATTGGTCATGGAATGGCCTCTCTGTGGCCTAGCCTCAAGGGACCTTTTTTCTTAACATTGAAAGTCGTAGTGCCCCCCCCCCTTCTCCCAAATGAGAGACAATATGATTTAGTGGAACAACCATATTATAAATCAGGGCATTAAAGGCGCTCGTAAATGGGTTGGTCCCCTCGTCCGTTAGCGTTTTGGGCTGGTTGTCATGGTTTCAAAAGTGGTTGAGACTACCATTGCCTCAGTCATCTTAATAGGTTTTTCCTGTGCAATTTCCTGAACAAATTTACCAGTCACGGTAAGTAGAGAATTCCCGCGTCAGCGATTTACGGGATCGACCACTTCTTTAGGTGCTTCCCTTGAAATGGTGTCACCCTAGAGAAGTGGTAAGTACCCCGTAGCCGAGGGATATTCCAACAACAGTAGTGTTTAGATAGTAGAAGTAGTAGTGACGTAGGGAGTAGTTGTAGAGTCATGTAGATTCTGCGCCGTATGGTTACCGTAGATGGCTTTAGTGGTTAGCCGATCTGAAAAATCGAAATCGGTACTGTAGTAGTTTGATACCTATGCTGCCGTGGTAGCACCCATGCAAGTGACAGGAAATATACTGGTTGAGAGGAATCTGAGTGGTACACTGTAGGCTAAACTTCTCCAGGAAGAGTCAAGGAACCCTTGCCGAAGCAAAAAAAATCAACAATGGCCTTTGAAGTTCGAATCCGAAAGGGGAAACGCAGGAACCTTAACAAGTGGGTGGAGTCGTCGGGGGTGGAGTCAGGCGCGGCACGTACGAAAGTCGTTCAACAATGTGTACGTGTGATAGAACGGAATTGTAAAAAAAAAACTGGTTCCAATAGAATTTATAGGGTGCGATGCATGCGAAGTATTTGCGGCGAAAAGGGGCGTGGCAATCTGGGGCGGGGCTTCGCTTCAGGTACACTGTAGACAGAGGGTAATGCGGATGGCTCTTCGCGCAAGAATGCGAAAATCGCTTCGCGAAAGATTATTGAATGAGGTTTGAAAAAGCTTCCAGTTTCTCACACCATTGCCAATTCCGCGCAGGTTGTATGGGTGGGGTACATGGAGAAGTCTATCTTCCTACTGGTGGACACTTTATAGGATGGCAAAGTGAAGCCATCTAGTGGGGATGGCGCAATGGGCTCCGCTCATATGTCCCGACCCGACGCGAAATGCGAATGTTAACAAGGCAAGGTATTTTCGGCTGTTCCTAGGAGAAGTACGAAAAATTCATAATTTCAAGGGTTAAGAGAACCATGCATTTTGCTGGAAGGTGATCTGATGTAGAGCTGATTCAGATGGTGACAAAGACGAAGAAAGTGTTCATTGGTGGACTGTCGGCCTCATCAACACTCGAGGATATGAAGACATATTTCGAGCAGTATGGAAAGGTATTCTTTTGAATGGTTTCAGAAATTTTGAATAGGGTTTTTATTACACATCAAACCTGGCATTTAGCTAATTGAATACGAAATGAACTAGAAATGAATCATTCCTGACGCTAGGCGGTCTTCACTCATGACATTAATATGCAGATAAGCGCTGAATTAATGCCTTGGGTTCATCGAACTTAAGGACCTATTCCGCGATAGCAGGTCGTGGGCTTTGGGATCCAATATGGGGATGAATAAGTAGGTACTTCGGATCACCAGTGAAGGAAAGGGTGGAATCATCGAGGGTACCCAAATAAGGCACGAGGACTGGAAGAAGGGAGACGTCACATCGTAAACTGAATGGAAAACAGGAGAGAACCGGGAGAGCGAGGGAAGGTAGGCACGATACGGAATGAACGCAACGCGTCAAATCTGAGTATAGGACCGCTGGCGTTTCACGTCCCCAAATGGGCGGGGCAGCCACTACGGATGCTGTTTTTTCGGCTTATGACGATGGCAACGTCCTCGTCGCTCTTCATCCAGTCGCGGGTTCCGGCCTACCTATGGACTGAGGGCCGGTCAACTGCACGAGAGAGGTCTGTCCTTAGAGACAGTCTGACACAAGAGAGCTACTCTACTTTTGTTAGAACAGTGTTTCGCGCTCAGGATATTCCCATCACGCGGCCGGAAAGGTTCTGCGGCCTCATATAGGGGCATTTTTGACCGCCTCACCTAGTGGCCCGTCTAGCAATCTTGTTTCCCTACTTCAGTTGTTTACCATTTTTTCGGTCCGGTGATTTTAATAAGGCCAAGAAACAATTACTGAGCCAGAGGCGGGACTGATTTTGCTTTGCGGGCGTTAGCGAGCAGATCCAGATAACTTCGTACAGTGAAGGATGGCGGTCCGTTACGCTCCCCATGTTTTTTTTTTGCTTCTCTTCTTAACCTGGGGGGGGCGGGGTCATAGGCGATATAGGTTCGTGTGAATGCTTTACCTCAAGCTATCTCGGCGGATTCATCTTCGTGAAGGAGACTACGCGGAGAAAGCGCGGAACGGGAGCATTTACTCGCGCATATATCATACAAGAAGTTCGCGGAAGGGTTTTCTATCAATGAAACTGGTTCTAGTAAGTGCGTTACCTACCTATCAGGTCTCATAAAAGAGCACATACTCTCCACTATGCCAGAGCTATGACATCAGAAATTTTCATCTGTTGATAGGTCACTCAATAAATTATGTAGCTCTATGCTTGAGCAGTATTGTGGAAAATCCGATTAGATGTTTTTCCAAACGAAAATTTTAATTTGGTGGAATGTCGGGTACTATGTGTAATGATTATTCGAGGGAATGTGAACCTGACTGTTGTTGTTTTCGACGGCAGAATCCAGCGTTATGTCGCGAATGACAGTTGTTATGGATGACCCTTGTGTGGCCATGTTCGCCGCCGTTCGCCTATGAGACCAAACGATCAGTACTATGCAGGTACTGTAGGCACGAGCCCGGCTATATCGAGCCCCAATGTAATACGTAGTGTCGAGACAGTGCCAGACATATTAGAGCGCATTGTTGAAACGGGCAAAAAGCACGGTGTCGGAGCAGGTGGTGTTTCTATGGAAGGGTAAGTGGAGAATGCGGTTGTGGTAGATGAAATATTGACTTTTTGCATTTACCCAAACGCTTCCATTTTGATATGGGAACTAGAAGGGATATTGAAGAGCTGGAAATATTAGAGGGGACAAAGGTGATAGTGGGGGGGGGTGTAGGGTGCCAAGCGGCAACGCGACTATGCCAAGTCATGTCTGTCTTTTCCTGTCAAGTCTTGAAGCCTTGGATCGAGCCTGTAGGCCATTTTCCAACGAGGGAGCGTGGAGAACAGGGGACGTCCTCCCGTTTGAAAAAATTTTCTGCAAAGTACAACTCCTCTTAAAATATCCTGATCTGGTACGACCCGCTTCCCCGCCCTCTCCCTCCCCTTCATAGTACCATCTTCCTGAACTCTTCCAACTCCTATCACTTTTCCGGAGATTTTTTTCCGGAAATTCCTCCATTCCCCTCCCCCTCCCAAATGCCGTCGAGTGGAATAGGGGAAGAAGGTGCAGTAGAGCGTGGCAGGTACGACCCCCCCCCCTCCCCTTTGGGATCCTCAATGTACGGCATACCTGGTGGAGAAACAGACATGACGTGACACGTCGCTCGCTGCTAGCAGCGGTCCACCCCCGTTTCAACTACCTGCGCCTCCTTCAGAGTGGCCTTGTTGCCCGTCTCTGTGAAACTTCTTTGATTCAAATGCGGCTTCGTGAAAAGGCCAACGGCGGTAGGAGAGCCTTTCCTTGGGCTACTGAACTACTATTGTACCCGGACCAGCCCCGTTTTCCCGTGGAACGGAACAAATTGGTACCGTAACTGAACAGAAAACCAGGGTCAAGCTTACGCCGAGGAATCCGCGACGTGGGACTTGCCGAAAGGGGAGGAGATCGTATGGTCACATGGATGGTGCTTGTCCCTGCTGTAGAGAAGACGCCTTAAATTTGAATTCATTAGCGAGGGGAGCCTGTACCTAGCAGTCAACATATGCTTCTTGAAAATTCTACTACATCCAGGTACATGGCTTATTTCAAGAGGCTTAACGAAGGCTTACCTAAGGCGTTCCTGTGGGCTGATTATCCGTTCCTGACGCAGTCTAATTGAATTACTTACACCTAGGAAGTCTCCAACAACACCACCTTCCAGAACCTTCTGAATACGGTATCGAGTTTTTGGAAAAGAAGCGTTTTGCCCGTTTTTCGGTGCTAGCCATGAATACAGCGTTAGATGAGCTAGGCTTCACTACCTTTCTAGCATATGTGCTGTAGAGATCGATTAACCGATCATCACCTATTCTCCTAGATTCTTTAGTTATTTTCATAGCACCGCAGTGAAGTAACTAATAAGATTGAATTGTTGTGATTTTCAGGTTGAGGATGCTATGCTTATGTTCGACAAGGCTACCCAACGTCACAGAGGTGGGGTTTTGACTAATTTCTGTGTTGGGTTTTCCTTCATAGTTTGTCACCTTACCTACCGATTTCTGGCTACAAGATTTTAGGGGTCATGGGTCAACGAAATCCTTTGACTTCCAACTCTTTGAAGGAAATGTTAGTGGGGGAACATGCTGAAAAAGAAGCGCCCGTACTGCAAGAACTCTCTCGAAAACCGTCATCAATTTCTTTGGTTAGATATTCCGGTGCAGTTCGCCTGATTGGGGGCATTTAACTTATTCCCGTCGATTACTGCCAGTGCCTTCTGTGGAGACATGTGAACTCTTTCGAAGCTATGCAACACCATGAGATTTCCTTGCTTTTGACAGAGTCTACAGGTTTTACCAAAGGTAAACGTGTAGTTACAATGACTTGTAGCATCAGAAACTAGCGGATGTTACCGCTCCCTGCCCCCCCGCCCCGCCAACCGGAACAGCGCGCCTGAAAATCCTACCGAAAGCTCACCATGGGTTTGTTATGGATGGAATTCTTTTCCTTGAAAGTACATCACTTCGCCTGTTTTGAGCTAGTCTCGAATGAAATTCGTGGCAAATGCGGCCAGTAGCCATAGCGAATAGGTATTTTTTCACGGTGTCGTAACCTAACCTGATGTGTTCACACCTTGCCCCGCCCCCTTGGTAAATTGGAAAATTTGCAAACCGCGACAAAAATTGGAGTCGTGTCGACTGATTTCTGATTTCTCTCTTCCCCAACTTTTCTGTTTCTCCATTTCCCGATTGGAGGAGTCAGTCGATAAATTTTCGATTTTGTTTTTCGGGGTTTTCTGATATTCTATACTGACACGATTTCGAAAATGGCTTTAACATTGCCCTGAATTAAGAATGAAACTATCAGGTGGCTAGGTTTCACCCCTCAGATTACCTGGCGCAGTGCGGCGGCGAGGGGGGGGGGGTCATTTTGCGCTTGTTCCTCTTTCCATCGACGTGTAGAGCCATAAAATGGAGACCGAAACCTCATGAAGCCACGAAGTGATACCAGACGATTTTTTTAAGAATCACCGGTCAACTCTTGTGCATTCATGGCGAACCTCATTTCATTCATTTCATGAGCTTACAAGAGTTTACTGGTTTTACCATGGTGGCTTGACGAGCTTGCTCCAGCTTCACAAGAGTTCACAGGTTTCACCAGAGTGAGACTTGTAAACCGGAACTAGTGAAGCAGCGAAAGTGCAAAATCCCACCCCCTCCCCTTCGTTGAACTCCGCCGTCATTTCTTTCCCTACTGATTTGTGAGAATTTTGCCTCAAATTTTGCCATTGCCACAGAAACGTTTTTTCTTATAATTTTTTGAAAGGTGTGAACTTTTTTTTGAAGCTTTCATAATTACATTTTCTTAACTTTGTTAAAGATACGCCGGCAAAATGAGGGCTGGAATAGGTTGTCGAGTGCTGCTGAGTAGCAATGCTTCGGGGTTGTAATTTGTGTTAGGTTGTGCCTTACGAGCTGGTCGAAACTTAGACTCTGGTAGATGTTCTGACTTTATCCCTTGTAAGGTACACCAAATCTAACACAAGTTACAGCTTACTTTGTTGAGTTTGTAAGAAAAGCGAAGTTGTAGAATGTTTTCAGGCTTTGGCTTCATCACTTTTGACAACGACGAAGTGTCGGACAAAGTATGCGAAATCCATTTCCACGAGATCAATGGGAAAATGGTGGAGTGCAAGAAAGCGCAGCCTAAAGAAGTGGGGTTTTCTTCTTTTTACTTCTTATCGTTACGCCATTGCTATTTGTGATGGCTGCTAATGGCTTTAGAAGAAAAATTGTATTGACCGTAAAGTGACTTTTGAAAATGCAGGAAGAATTTCGCAATTCTCCTAAAAACTACTTCAATTCAGTCAGTCACTACTTGTTAATCTTGAAAATTTTTCCGCTGAAAGTTTGACTATAGAGGTTAGCCAACACCCCGACAAATATGACATCCGCTTTGAACGCTGGCGCCAATTTGGTCCCACCACCTTTTTCACCAAAATCAATATAAACTTGCAGACTAGGCTTTTTTGACGTCCTGATTATGAATATGGCATCCGCTTTTTAACGCCGGTGCCACTTTGCGCCAGCGCTGACATGATGTCACGATTTTTCCTAGCAAATTCGTTGTCATTTTGCGTTTTGAGATTGAATTGGGAACTCGGTCCCAAGTATGACGTTCATTTTTGGCGCGAGCGCCATATAGCGCTGTGCTAACGCTGAGGGACTTCCTCTCTTCTGGTTCAGCCGAGCGCAGACGACCAGACGCGCCCTAACTTGGCGCTTGCGTTAAGAATGGTTGTCATATTGGTGGCCAGGACGCCAAATTACCCTTATCTGCTAGGTTACATGAATGCTGGTGATAAAGGTGGTGGCGCCAGGTTGGTTCCCGTAGTAGCAGTTGAATTGTGCCAAGCCTACCACGATCTCGGATGTGCCTTCATATATTCTATTCTTTCTTTACGAACGAATTCACAATGCCTTCCATTTACTGCCTACCGCAATGACTGCGTTCATTCTTCGCGATAAAAGCGATTCAATTGCGCGAATTGACAGTCTCGCGCCTACAATTTTCGTTGGAGTACTGCAAAGCGCCAAGCAATTTCTGTCTTTAATATGATCTATGTGGCCGCTGTAGCGGTCCAACTATTAGCGCTAGAGCGCGGTCGGTCGCGATCGTGTGATTCCTAAATAACGCGACTGAATTGCTCAAGTCGCGAGGTATGAACACTGCCTATCTGTCGCATATTTCTAGATTTCCTCCTTCAAAATAGTGGTTAGAAATAAAATCCGGAAATAAATTGGCAGCGCACTCACCCGGTCAGCGGGAGATGGATGTTCGAATACCGCCTGGGGTCTGACACTTACCCCACTCAGCATCCTTGTGATAACTTTTGGAGCGCAAACTGCGGCTTTGAACAACTTTATCATAGTAATTTAATAGCATCTTTCAGGTGA